CCCCCCCTGGAATTTGGAATTTTACACACCACACCCAACCCCCTCGGTAGCTTCGCCCCTTTGTGTCCGCTTACTGCCCCCCCCCCCCTGGCATTTTGCTCAGGCTACGGCCCTGCGTGCAGTCTTGTATCTGCAGTATGATATACAGATGCAAAATGGTAGACTTTTTGAAAACATCATTAGGCAAAGTGCACGATTAAATATTATAATAGATACTCGAATCATGCAATGAAATCACAACAGTACCCGTTACAGAAGAAACAAATGCAATCCTCCCTTTGCTCTTCAGTAAATGTGGAAGTGCGTGTGAGGCGAGATGCACGTATGCTCTGAAGTTGATGTCCATGTCCGTTGCCAGATCTGTCAGGTTCCGTTGGCTCCCAAACCACGTGTCGAACGGGGAAACCCTAGCATGGTTTAGCACCAGGATGTCCAGACCTTTTAAACTGTCTACGCCGAACTAAAAGTGGAAAAATATAAATATGTAAAAGGGTGGTTCTGTTTTGTTGAGTTTTATGAAAGTCTACCAGGGAATTGAAATCGTGGAAACGTGTACATAGCGTAGCACTTAGCCTCGTTGAATTTTTTATTGTCAACGAATGAGCGCAGGTTTTTTTAAACAAGGGAGGCAGGTTTTCGTGTGTGAGGTTCGGGAGTATAATACAGCGTCTGAAATTTTGCTGTTGATTATTCATAATCAGAATGGGTTTGATGGTCATCGTTCAAAAAAAAAAAAAAGGGTGTGATTTGTCGACAGAAAAATACAGTCGTAATTTAAAAGGATTTTGAGTGTACAACTTCCATTCATTCAAAACACTGTCGAAACGTTTTTAGTTCAATATTTATGGATATCATAAAGAAATTTATGAACAACCCCATTATTCACCAGGCTCACCATATGGCGTTTTCTGGGTGCCGTTTTTTCGCAAGTATGAGCTTCCCTCTGCCATCTTTTATTATTATTATTGTTTGTGTGTGTGTGATCACAACATACCTTCGAAGCACTCACCATGTAAAACTCAGACTCGTTTCAAAAAAAAAAAAAAAACGCCCATTATATCTTCAAATTAAAAAAAAAAAAATTGCAAAGCATGAGCAAATCTTTAACTTTTCTAAATATCACAACTCACTATCGAGTTCCATTCATTATGAACTTTTAATGATAGTTATTTGACATTAAATAAGCTTCTTTATACTGCGTGCGCACCTTGATAAGTTTCTTCGTGTTGTCCAACTCCTTCATGTCAGCAACCATATAGGCATGGTTAGCGGTTGGTTCAGGAGACAGTTTCTTACACTGTTTTACAACCTTAAAAGGGATATTTTAAAATATAACAATGTTATGTTTCAATTTAGAAATATTTTTTACAGTTACACCGACCATACCAAGAAGTTAAAGATGAATGGGGGGGGGGGGGGGGGGAGGGGGGGGAGAGATGAGGGAACTAGAAATTGTTAATCTGGAGCGAGAAACATTAAATTTGTTCTGCGTTTCCACTTGTTCTTGACAAATGTTGATAAGCACAACTCAAAGAAAGTAGAAATGTTTTGAACCTCTTTCAAGAGATTCTCTCTGCGAGCTGTCAAGACCAGGTTTGCTCCCATCTTGGCAAAATGGTACGCCATCTGTTCTCCAATCCCAGACGATGCTCCTGTTATCAGAACTTTCTTGTCTTGGACGTCAGCTGGAAAACAGATTGGTTTTGAAAAGTAACTTATAATTTTTTGACAGTGAAACATATGTGAATACCCAGTGAAAATAACTCTATGTGACCCTTGTGTGTGTTAAAGGGTTGCAGAGCGTGCAGTCACATAATTAATTGTCCAGGCACTTGTTGTGGTCATGCAGATCATACCTGTGGGTAGGCCCTACCCCTGTGCTAGTAGAGGCCATACGTTATTTAGGACAAGACTGACAAGGGGACAATAGAGAATTTAGAACATCCAGTTCAGTGAAAGCAAGCCTGGTTACGCTCTACATTAAAATGACAAAAAAAAAAAAAAACTAGTTTCCCTTAATTCATTTATTCACCGAATGCCACAACCACACCACCGGTGTTAAGGTACCGTCACACTGTAGTGTACAGCACAAATGTACTCACAAATTGCCCAAACGCAGACTAATTTAAAACGTTAGGAGTTCTTTAGACTATTAAGTCGCGTACGTTTCGAGTACGCAGGCAAATGTTGGCGTACTTTTTCATACGCTAGACAGGAGGCAATTTTGAACGCACGGGTTATCATCTGTGGTAGAAAGAGTCCCAACTCATCTTCATCACAGTTGATCCATCTGGCAGTTTTAAATGATCAACAGAACAGAGGAAGGCTAACCATCTGTTACTCATGTATTGCTCAGTTACGTTCACCATACGCTCATATACGGTGCCAGCACTCTCATATACAGCTTAAGTACTCGTACATCATTTATACGTTGATATAGCATATGCTACACGTACGATGGGATACAATGGAAAAGGCGTACATACATATGTTACTCATAATTATGCCATTCATACGTAAATAATGCGGTGCAAATACGCTATATAAACGTTGGTTTTACGCTTCTTACAAGTCCGTTTATTTCCATTCATTTGAAAATAGATGATTTCTTACTTTCAGTGTTGTGCGTATAATTAATCTTACTTATACGATAATCATCATTCGTTTCTTTATAGAGTGTGACAGCGCTTTAAGAAAAAATGAGGATGCGTGTAACATCATTCAAGTCAGGGTTAACGTGACGTCTGTGTACCATAATATAGGGCAGGATTAATCTGAACATATTATAAATCGACGGGAACTGGTGCGAAAAAGATTGGTGGTCCGCTAGGAACCGTAGTCAGTTCCCCATTACTTTACACAAATGACATACGACCTATACATACAAACCCTTATACTCCAACTACCTCTTAACTGTACTTATCATGTGGGAGGCCGGACTTCCATCCCTGGGACTTCCATTCCTATCACACCTGACCCTGGAGATTTTCTCGAAATAAGCATCGGCCCACCACCTTGCTGTCCCTTGTTTCCCTTAAATTCGATTTGTCTTGCTTTGTAGGTCTACACCAGGGGCGGATCCAGAAATATTTTCCGACAGGCTTCCAAATTATCTTTTTTGATCCATCCTCCATTTTTGACCGTCTTCCGACAGAAAAATTTAGAAAGGCCTACCCGTCAATGTAAACTTGAAAATCTGACCGTCTTCCAGAAGACCCAAAAGACGGCCTAAATCCGCCCCTGTACACGACTGTGTTCCGTATTGTCTTTACCTCTCACTTACCTGGATCAAACTTGTTTCCACTGTACATAAGAAAATATGCTATGACCACGACAGAGAGCGCCAAGGACAACTTTTTCAGTCCGTATCCCATGTTCAGTCCTAGATATTGTCGCCACGGACGATCTTCAGAGTTGAAGTAAGTACGAGCTACGCTACCAGTCAAACTATAAAATCTGCGTCTGGGTCAACCTGGACGCGAGGCAGGGCATTTGACGTAGAAATGGGGACCAATAGAACAGGGGAAAGGATGACTGTGAACGCCCCCGTAATGCTGCCAAGTAATATTTTTTAAAGTATTTGATGACATTGTGAGCTATGCATATGCAGTATCATAATATCAGGTAGGTCATGGCCCTAACCTGAACTGGGCCGCTCGACTTGCGAAGCCGTGACATATTATTGAAGTAAATGGGGGCTTTCTCCCTTATACAAGTTCTTCACAAGTTCCATTCCAACAGTTATTTGATCTTATTTTAGTTATTCTGTTGGCCGTATCGAGAACGGGTCTCTGGTTGGCTCGGTAACTCTCTTACCAAGCTATTAAAACCCCCTTTACACTGGACAGAGTCCTTTCTTCGTCCTTTGTGCGACCATGAAACTGGCATCACTGTGGTCGTAGAAAGGAGACACAAGTATTGCTTTGCTTGCAAAATGAATGCTGAATGATCGGCCAGTTGTCAGCACGTAGGACTAATGTATTTTTTTTTACTTTCAAACGGGGCCGTACTACAGGACGCAGAAAGGACGACGCCCGGTATAAAGGTAACGTCTTTATGCTCCACTGCGCAACGACGTCGCGAATCTTTCTGTTGCGCATTGCGGCAACATGGCTGACAGGAGATCTAACAATACACGAAATTTGATGTAAAAATTAATTGAAGTTGCTTCAAAATGTTTTCAATATAGATCAGAATATTCTCAGTCAATATTAAAAAAGATCAGCAAATAATAATTACTTGATGGCTGCGGTAAGCTGGGATGCGAAGCTGGGATGCGATTGCTGAATATGACCATAGAAGTTTTCTCTACTTCTATGATATGACCTCTTTCTCACCCGATGTGTTAGTTGTGACAATTCTTAATTGCGTGTTAACTACGTCTCTTTTTTGACCTCCAAAGAGCGGAGCGGTCTTGCCGCTTTACCTTTTTTCAAACATTTTACGATATACACGAGGATCCAAGATATCATGTTTTTCTTAAAAAATCCAGCTTGGTGCTACGCTTTTGCACGCGGAACAACTTAGTATGGGGCTTGTTTTAAAAGAAGTTGAGCGTATCCGAAGGGGGGTGCATCTTTGCGAGTGGTAGGGGCCCACCTCATTAATAACAACAACAAAAAATTATTATTATTATTATTGTTAATGTTGTTGCCGACTTTGTATGAAAGAACATTCTATTAGACACAAATATCATAATGACATTACCCAGAATACATTTCAGACAAGAGATGTATAATTTTATAATTCTTTTTACATTTTCAGTTAATTCTTAATACATCTTTATCAGTCACTGATATTTTATTCAAAAAATGCTTTCAGAGAAATTTGGTCAGCTAATTCTGGTGACACTTTTCCTAGATATACCAGTATTGATGTCATTATATCGGAACTTGTGTACACTTCGTACTGCCTAGCAACAGTTGCCTTGACGATCTCCAAGGCAACAACTGTTGGATCCGCGAGGTGAAAGTCCTTGAAAGCTTCCCCTTCTAATCCCTGTAAATATTCCATCACGTGTTCTGTTCCTGAAATGATTTGTACAGTTTGTATAATTCCGACGTTTTCATAAAAAAATAACGTTTAATGTTTAAAGTTGTGTATTGAAGGCCAACGAATTCGTTTAGGTACGGTTACTGTCGCTTTTCCAGAATAAATAAACTGGATTATCATTCCAGCTTTTTCTTGCTCTTATGGTGGGTTGCAGACATAATTTTATTTAAACAATTAGGTGGGAATTCTGATTTTGGGAGTTTTTCCGACTTTTCCTAAACCCCTTGTCGTAAGTTCACCGAGCCCATTTTTTTACTCTTTTCTTTTTTTTTTTTCAACCCAACTGCCATCATGTGTTTCAGAGACCAAAGAATGCTGTTTATATGGGAAGGTGAATTTCAGTAACGTTTGAATATGTTGATTAACCACAAGCTAACAGGTATCTCTGCACGGTGACGGTAGAACATGCTTATGAACATATATGTAGGATCATTTTTAAGGTAACGTAACACACACATTTATGCAACTGTCCCTAACATCCGAGAGCTCAATTGCATGGGGTTTTCCCGTGTCATTTGAAACTTTATAAGTTACATAATAATAGATGTTATGTGTGCTAAATTTTCTTACCGGTCCCGGCCACCATGCACGAGGTGATAGATACGCCTGTGTTTCTCATCACCATCTCTTGTCTTAGTACGCCAAAGAACCCTTGCATTGCGTGCTTTGATGCAGTGTACACTGCCATCCCAGGAAACGGGATCTTTTCTGGAATAAAATAGCAAGACCTATGCATGAAATCGCCGCAAAAGGATTTCCACCAACGAAGGTACATGCTGATCGATAGATGAGAGGTAAGTTACTAGAAATCTTTGAAAATCTTCTAAAACTCGAGGCCAGAGCCGCAATGCAGTCTTGTCTGTGTGATAATATACTCCCCTAGCTAAAAAAGTGTCACCCCTACCGTGATTATGTACATTGCTACAAGGGTAACCATAGATTTAAACAGTGCATAACAAGCAGGCAACCGATCATCTTGTAAGCTGTAGACGGAATTTGTAGATCAATTAACCTAGCAGAGTGACATTAGAAATACTCCACACTGCACGAAAAATGTGGCTTTGATTTTTTTACTATCGTTAGCATATTCATCAATAAAATCAGTGAAATTCTGCCAAAAATCATTTTAGAAGCTGAATAAAAACATCGGTTTATGGCTTGATTTTCTGTATCGCTTTAAGCATTTCATTAGGGTTGGCACCTTTTTGCTAGGAAAGTATATATAGTGATGTATGTATCAGACTTTTTGATGATGTCAAGGACTGTGAACTTCTTAGACAAAGTGCATTGTTAAGTACTACTCGATAAATACTCAATTCACAGTAAAAAAGGCCAAACTTGCACCTGCTACAGAAGAAACAAATGCAATCCTCCCTTTGCTCTTCATTAAGTGTGGAAGTGCGTGCGAGGCGAGATGTACGTAGGCTCTGAAGTTGATGTCCATGTCCGTTGCCAGATCTGTCAGGTTCTGTTGGCTCCCAAACCACAATTTGAAAGTTGTTGGTAACCTGGCATGGTTAAGCACCAAGATGTCCAGACCCTTTAAAGCGTCCACACTAAACTGGAAATACAGGAGGTCACAGGAGGTACATTAGGGTTATATTGAACCGGGGGGAGGAAAGTGCAGCTGACCCAAAGAATTTAGAAGAAAAAAGAATTTCAAAGTGGTTTTTATTAGATGTTAGCATTTTGCTCTCCATAAGTCCATCAGAAGTCAGTCCTTCCCTATGCAATCTAATCGGACACAGATGGAAACACGTCAGTACTTCTCGTCATCGCTAACCATGCATGTTTTCATGAGTGAGCAATCTTGAAAACCCTACGCATTGCTATTGATTATTCTTCTCCAGGATGAATTAAATTGTTTTATTGTGTCAATTTTCGCAAAAAACAAAACAAAAACAAAAACAAAGATAATTGTGATCGATCACTGCATGAGTTCTGTTAACTTTCCACTCATTCAAATTATTGTATTGAATATGTATTAGATCAAATTTTTTTTTACAAATCACAGCTCGGTTTCAAGGTTTCTTTCATTACAATTTCATTGTTATGTGGCAGCCATTAAGCGGGAACTGTATACAGATACCTATTCTTCTTGCTCACCTTTATAACATCTTTTGTCTTCTGCAGCTCTTTCATGTCAGCAACTATATAAGCATGATTAGCGTTTGGGTTCGGAGACAGCTGCTTACATTTTTCTATAACCTAAAAAAAAATATTTGAAAATATGATATAATACGTCCATAAAATTACAATTTGCAAATATTTTACAGCTACAATGACCGAATTTTGGTCACATTAAAATAATTTGTGAAAAAATTTTAGCAGAGTGCATTTCGTCTTTGGCTATTTAAGTCAATTTTACCGAAAGCGCCGAAACATTTCCATATAACATTTTAAAATACTTTTTTTAAAGGGTGAATAAATCACTGGGACGGGAGTGACCATATCATCAGTTGTAAACTTTATGGTGGATGTAAGGATTGGTGTAAACTCCAAAGGACTAGAAAACTACTAAGGGCTAGAAACACTTGCGCTGCGTTTCCCATAGGTCTTGACAAATATTGATAAATACAACTTAAAGAAAGTGAAAACGTTTTGAACCTCTTTCAAAAGATTCTCTCTGCGAGCTGTCAAGACCAGGTTTGCTCCCATCTTGGCAAAATGGTACGCCATCTGTTTTCCAATCCCAGACGATGCTCCTGTTATCAGAACTTTCTTGTCTTGGACGTCGGCTGGATAATAGATTGGTTTTGTATAGCAATTATCAAAACGCTCATATATATATATATATATAATTGTTATTTTCTGTATTATTATCAATATAGTCATAGACGAAATAATATGAACGGAAGGCTGTTCAGAGATCCGTGGATGTTGCAAATCCTTTGGCGACAAACATGATCAAATTTACCCAAAAAATCGCAGTACAGAAACATTCTAAGAATAGTCAAAGAAATATCTGTGAATATCTTGTAAAATAATCCTCTCCGTGACCTGGTGAGGGGGAAGCCGAACGTGCCATTGTGCGACCTAATTCAGGGGTGTTTATGTCAATATCTTTATCCGTTATGGTCAGGTCACGTAAGGAGATATGGAAAAAGAAGAAAAGTTTGGATCTAGACTCGATGTACACCCAGTGAAGAGAATCGGTTTACCGTCTGTCAGGGAACTGGCAAAGGCAAGAACCAAACAATTTGCCTTTCATCAGTTCACCAGTTGTCATCCCCATCGGTGTTAAGACAAAATTAAAGGACAGTGTAACAAAGACTCCACCCTTCATACAGGTTATATGGTTAGCGTGAAGTATGGGGGTAAAAAAAATCATAAATAGAAAAAAAAGGAACCGTGTAACATGAATAAAGTCCTAGGAATGGAAGTCCGGGGTCCCATATGATTAATACAGGTTAGGGTTGGTTGGAGTATTGGGGTTAGTATATAGCACGAATGTCACCTGTACAAAGTAACGGGGGGCAGACAACGGTTCCTAGCGGACTTCCATTCCTGTTACACAGTCGCATACCTGGATCAAACTTGGTTCCACTGTACATAAGTAAATATGCTATGACCACGGCAGAGAGCGCCAAGGACAACTTTTTCAGTCCGTATCCCATGTTCAGTCCTAGATATCGTGGTCACAGTCACAATCTTCAGAGACGAAGTAAATACAAGCTACACTGTCTGATACAGTCGAAGTATTTTATTACTGTCTGTTATCACTTAAATTTAGGTCAGTCAAGAAAAGCAAAGAAGTATTGAATTTGACGGGGAATTCACCACCAATAGAAAAGGGCAAATGACAATACTAAGCAATTCACGTTGTGTTTTTAAGTAACCATTTTTTAAAATATTTAATAATAATGTGGGCAATTTATGTGCAATGGATATTATCACACGACAAAATAATAATCTTAGTAAAAGTTGTCTGGACGATCGCCAAAGCAATCACTGGTAGGCCCTACTTAGGCAACGTCTTTATGCTCCACGTCGGGAATCTTTCTGTTGCGCATTGCGACAACATTGCTGGCAGGAGATCTAGTAATACGCAAAATTTGATGTGAAAATTAATTGAAGTTGCTCCAATTTTTTTTCAATAGAGAATATTAAAAAAGATCAGCAAATAATAATTACTTGATGGCAGCTGTAGGCTGGGATGCGATTGCTGAATATGACCTCTTTCTCACCCGTTGTATTAGTTGTGACAACTATCTTGATTGTGTATTAACTACGGGTCTTCTTTGACCTCCAAGAACGGAGCGGTCTTGCCGCTTTACCTTTTTTCAAACATTTTGCAATATACACGAGGATACGAGATATGTTGATTTTAAAAAAAATCCAGCTTGGTGCTAGGCTTTTGCACATGGAATAACAAGTTATGGGGCTTGTTTTAAAAGAAGTTAAGCGTATCCGAAGGGGAGTGCATCAAATTGTTATTATTGTTATTATTATTATCATTATTGCTGTTGTTGTTGTTGTTGTTCTTGTTGTTGTTGTTGCTGTTATAGTAAGTCGACTTTGTATGAATAAAATTCTAGAAAATCGAATCTGTCAGACACAAATATCATAATGACATTACCCAGAATACATTTCAGACAAGAGATGAATTATTTTATAATTTTTTTTTTTTACATTTTCAGTTAATTCCTAATACATCTTTATCAGTCATTGATATTTTATCCAAAAAATGCTTTCATAGTAAGTTGGTCAGCTAATTCTGGTGATATTTTCCCTAGAAATACCAGTATTGATGTCAATATATCGGAACTTGTGTACACTTCGTACTGCCTAGCAACAGTTGCCTGGACGATCTCCAAGGCAACAACTGTTGGATCTGCGAGGTGAAAGTCCATTGCAGTTTCCCCTTCTGATTCCTGTAAATTTTCCATCACTTGTTCTGTTCCTGAAATGATTTATAGAGATTGTATAATTCCGACGTTTTCATAAAAAATAACGTTTAATTATTCCGACGTTTTCCGAAAAAAAAAAAAAATAACGGTTATTGTTTAAAGTTGTGTATATTGAAGGCCAACGAATTCGTTTAAGTACGGTTACTGTCGCTTTTCCAGAATAAATTAACTGGATTATCATTCCAGAGTTTTCTTGCTCTTATGGTGGGTTACAGACATGAGTTTATGAAAACAATTAAATGGGAAATCTGATTTTTGAAGTTCGTTATGAGAGGATCCCTGGGCCCCGTAACTCGAAAGCATCGCGTATTGCGAATAGCGATATCACATAGAGGTTACAGTGTATTATATGGAACGAGTATGGGCGAGTTATGGAATCGAGACGCTTGCGCTCGGTCGCAATGTGCGATGCTTTCGAGTTACGGGGCCCTGGTTTTGCGTCATCTCGCGCAAAGCATATCGGTATCTCTAAACAATAAACTCGACATCTCAAAATGATAAAACGACTTTGTAGAAAATAGTATTCTCTCAAAATGAAAGAACCGACTATGTCAAAATAATGAAAACGACTTACATAATACAAATTTTTATCAAAATGATGAAAGTGACGATCTCAAAATGATGTTAGCACCTCGCAAAAATTTTTTCTTGTCAAAATGATACTTTCATCATTTGTGTACAAACGGCGTTCCATACCCTTCGCCCTCTAAAACGCCAACAATTTTCGGGGCCCTTCATCGGCCAAGCTGGGGTGGTCGGCTTTGAATCAGTGTACCCCCCCCCCCCCTTCAAATAATCCAGGATCCGCTCCTATGACGGTCGAACATGTTTAAGTACATATACTTTATGTATGTGGGGATGTTTGTGAGGTAACGTAACACACGCATTTATGCAACTGTCCATAACATCCGAGAGCTCAATTGCATGGGGTTTTCCCGTGTCATTTGAAATTTAATTATAATAATAGATGCTATGGGTGCTACATTTTCTTACCGGTCCCGGCCACCATGCACGATGTGATAGATACGCCTGTGTTTCTCATCACCATCTCTTGTCTTAGTACGCCAAAGAACCCTTGCATTGCGTGCTTTGATGCAGTGTACACTGCCACCCCAGGTATCGGGATCTTTTCTGGAATAAAATAGGCCTATGCATGAAATCGCCGCAAAAGGATTTCAACCAGCGAAGGTGCATGTTGATCGATAGATGAGAGGTAATTTTAAGTTATCAGAAATCTATGAAAATCTTCTTAAACACAAGTTCAGAGGCACAATGCAGTCTTGTCTGTGTGATAATATACTCCCCTAGCCAAAAAAGTGTCACCCTTACCATTGCTTTAAATAGTGCATAACAACTAGGCCACCCATCATCTTGTAAACTAGGGACGTGAGTTGTAGATCATCGACCTAGCAGGGTGGCCATAGAAATACTCCAACACTATACAAAACACTCTTCTGTGATAAAAGTCCTTTTAGAAGCTGAATAAAAACATTGGTTTATGACACGACCTTCTGTATCGCTTTAATTAGGGTTGACAATTTTTTTTTGCTAGAGGAGCATATATCTGATAAGTCTGATATAAATATCAGACTTTTTGATGAGGTCAAGGGACGAAAGTGAATATCCTGGACAAAGTGTATGGTTAAGTACCATTCGATAAATTCTCAAGTCACAGTTTAAAACAGGACAAAAGGGCACCTGCTACAGAAGAAACAAATGCAATCCTCCCTTTGCTCTTCAATAAGTGTGGAAGTGCGTGTGAAGCGAGATGCACGTATGCTCTGAAGTTGATGTCCATGTCCGTTGCCAGATCTGTCAGGTTCTGTTGGCTCCCAAACCACATGTCGAACATTTTTGGTATCCTGGCATGGTTAAGCACCAGGATGTCCAGACCTTTCAGACTGTCCACACTAAACTGGAAAAACAGGAGGGTCGCTATAAAAATTCAATTTTAAAAAAATCTCTCGTCATCGTCATTGCTGTTTTCATGAGTGAGAAATCTTGACAGCCCTACTACGCATTGCTATTGATTATTCATTACCAGGATGGATTAAATTGTTTTCTTGTGTCAATTTTCGAAAAAAAAATGCTCTCTTATTGTGATCGATCACTGCATGAGTTCTGTTGGCTTTCCACTCATCAAATTACTGTATTGAATATGTATTAGATCATATATTTACTAATAACAGCCAGGGAGAAGTTTTGAATATATCCTTTTCCAATTCTTCCAATGGCGGCACCAAAGTATATTTTCAAGGTTCCATTTTTCGACAGTATGATCTTTATTTTTTGTGTAATGCTACATCCCACGCACCACACCCGATGAAGAAATTATATTTGCATGTTCAGTTTGTTGTAAAAATCCCCCCTCATGCCTTTTAATATTCCTAACTGATACAAAAATTTGCCCATCAGTGTGCATGAAGTCCTTACGTTGCGCAAAGAGTGATCTAGCGCATTTTACATTTTCTTTACAAAAATCACAGCTCGGTATCAAGTTTTATTTCATTACAATCTCACCGTTATACAGTGGCTATGTAACAGTCATGAAGCGGGGTCTATACAGATAGTCATGTTTCTTGGTCACCTTTATAACTTCCTTTGTCTTTTCCAGCTCTTTCATGTCAGCGACTATATAGGCATGACTAGCGGTTGGGTTCGGAGACAGCTTCTTACATTTTTCTATAACCTAAAAAAAATATTTTAAAATATAATAATATAGGTCCATAAGGTAACAATTTAAAAGGATTTGACAGCTACAGTGACCAAACTTTGCACACATGAAAGTAATTTGTGAGAAGTTTTTTTATCAGTGTAAGGAAGGTGGATTAGTGGCCAACTTAGATATGCATACGTGTGCCATTAGTCTGTAGCTATTTAAGTCAGTTTCACCGAAGGCGCTGAAACACATTCATATAACATTAATACCTTTTAAAAAAGATGAATAAATCACTGGAGATTGAACGGGAGAGACCATATCATCAGTTATAAAATTTATGGTGAATGTAAATATAAGATTGGTGTAAACTCCAACGGACTAGAAAACTAATAAGGGCTAGAAACACTTGCGCTGTGTTTCCCCTAGCTCTTGACAAATATTGATAAGTACAGCTCAAAAAAGTGAAAAATGTTATGAACCTCTTTCAAGAGATTCTCTCTGCGAGCTGTCAAGACCAGGTTTGCTCCCATCTTGGCAAAATGGCACGCCATCTGTTTTCCAATTCCAGACGATGCTCCTGTTATCAGAACTTTCTTGTCTTGGACGTCGGCTGGAAAATAGATTGGTTTTGAATAGCAATTATCAAAACGCTCATACATATATTATTTTCTGTATTATTATCATCGCTGTTATAATCCCTTGGCTACAAACATGACCAAATGTACCCCAAAAAAAAAAAAAAAATCGAAGTACAGAAACATTCTAAGAATAGTCAGAGAAATATCTGTGAATATCTTGTAAAATAATCCTCTCCGTGACCTGGTGAGGGGGGAAGGTGAACGTGTCATCGTGCAACCTAATTCTAAGGGTGGTTATGTCAATATCATTATCACTTAATGTTAGGTCACGTAAGGAGACATGGAAAAAGAACATTTTGGATCTAAATTAGTTGTGCACCCTGTGAAGACCTATAGAATTACTTTACCAGCTGTCAGGGAACTGGCAAGAACCAAACAATTTGCCTTTCATTAGTTCACCCCATCGGTGTTAAGACAAAATTAAGGGAAGGTGTAACAAAGAGTCCGCCCTTCATAAGATTCATACAGGTTATTGGGTTAACGTGAAGTATGTGGGACAAAAAATAAATAAATAAATAAATAAATAAATAAATAAATAAATAGAATAAAAAAGGAACCGTGTAACAGGAATTGAAGTCCTAGGAATGGAAGTCCGGGGTCCCATATGATAAGTAAAGGTAAGGGTTAGTCCAAGTATTGGGGTTAGTATATAGGACGAATGTCACCTGTACAAAGTAACTGGGGGCAGACAACGGTTCCTAGCGGACTTCCATTCCTGTTACACAGTCACATACCTGGATCAAACTTGGTTCCACTGTACATAAGTAAATATGCTATGACCACGGCAGAGAGCGCCAAGGACATTTTCAGTCCGTATCCCATGTTCAGTCCTAGATATCGTGGTCACAGTCACAATCTTCAGAGACGAAGTAAATACAAGCTACACTGTCTGATACAGTCGAAGTATTTTATTAGTGTCTGTTATCACTTAAATTTAGGTCAGTCAAGAAAAGCAAAGAAGTGTTGAATTTGGTGGGGAATTCACCACCAATCCAGAGCAATTCACGTAATGTTTTCAAGTAAGCATTTTCACGTATTTGATGATATTGTGCGCAATTTATGCACAATGGCATGATATTATCAAAATTCTTCAGGCAAGCGTGAAACGGCAAAATGATAATCTTATTGATAATGCTTATTATTATTGTGAAGTTATTTACTATAAATGATAATATTAATAATAATGATTCTGCCGTAATTAGGTCTATTGCAAACCAGCGCGCACTCACCATGTTTTGGGAGTCACTATCGTAATTAGCTTCCTAAACGACATTTGCTCCGGCGCATACAGTTTCACCCCCTTTTCTTATCGCAAATATTCGTGCTTGCGCGCGTGTGATAATAACAATTATTAAACTTACCCTACCAACGCGGATTCTTGTTTTGCATGTCGGTGTGACAGGAATGGTAGTTCGCTTGGAACCGTAGTCCTTAACCCACTTCTTGGTCATTCAAACCATTTCCATAATCGCCAGTGTAATTTCTGTGTATAAATTTTGTTTTAAAAATTCTAATATTACAAATTATTCAAGGCCGTTAACCATACTTAATATGCCAGTTTTTCGCCAGTAGTCAGTACAATTTCGTAACAATGTTTACCTCCCAAGACCCCTCTTGTGTAAAAACGCAAAACACTTTTTTATTTCTAAAAATCTATCATACATATTTTCCATAAAATAATTCTTATGTATTGTTTAACAAAGGCAAAATATGCAGTACGATTTTATTAATACATTTCAAGTTTATATTTTGCATTTTTCTCAGTCACTGTTTCTCTACTCAAAAAGTACTTTCAGAGTAACTTGGTCAGCAAATTCTGGTGATATTTTTCCGAGGAACATCAATATTGATGACCATTTATCGGAACTCGTGAACACTTCGTATTGCCTAGCAACAGTTGCCTTGACGATCTCCAAAGCAACCGCTGTTGGATCCGCAAAGTTAAGCCCCTTCAACTTTTCCTCTCCAAATTTCTGTTTGAATAACTCCATCACATTTTCTGTTCCTGAAATGTTTGTTAAGGTTTCCAAATGTATTTCGACGTTTTCTTCCTCTTTTAAATATTTTATTGAAAAACCTTTAGGTTTGAAAACGTTGGCATTGAAGGTCAAATTAATCTTTACATGTATATGTCTGCGTGTGGAAGTGTCTTTATGGTATGCAATTAATGCGGCATGTGCCTTTCATGCAAGCATCCACAATATTCAAGAGCTCGATTGTAAATAGTTCCACTTTGTGAACTTAACATTACAACGAGAGGATAACAGTTGATTTGTTGATTTGTGATAAAGTCACTTACTGGTCCCGCCCACTATGCACGAAGTGACGGAAACACCTGTGTTTCTCATCACCATCTCTTGCCTAAGTACACCAAAGAACCCTTGGATTGCGTGCTTTGACGCCGTGTACACTGCCATTCCTGGCACTGGGACCTTTTCTGAAAGAAATTGCATGTGTCAGCAAGGTAAAAAAGGTTTTTCAGTAAAACATATGCATAATGCATAGGAAAGCAAAGTTTTAGAGACCTATGAAACTCGGGTGTGGTAATATGGAGCAGACTTTAAATAACGTCAAGTGACGGGCGTGAATTATCTGGACAAAGTGTACGATTAGAAATCACTTGAAAAATACTCGGTTCACAGATAAATAACAGGGAACCTGCTGTAGAGGAAACAAATGCAATCCTCCCTTTGCTCTTCAGTAAGTGTGGAAGTGCATGTGAGGCGAGTTGCACGTATGATCTAAAGTTGATGTCCATCTCCATTGCCATATCTGTCAGGTTCTGCTGGCTCCCAAACCACATGTTGGAGACGGATATCCTGGCATGGTTAAGTACCAGTATGTCCAGACCTTTCAGACTGTCCACACTATACTAGAAATAGAAAAACAGATTACTACTCACAGATGCCAAGCAAACAGCATTTTATAACGTTGCCATAACGTTTCAATAACGTTTTCCTGAATATAGGCCTATTTACGTTATGGCAACGTTATAACTTTATGTTTNTTATTAAACTTACCCTACCAACGCGGATTCTTGTTTTGCATGTCGGTGTGACAGGAATGGTAGTTCGCTTGGAACCGTAGTCCTTAACCCACTTCTTGGTCATTCAAACCATTTCCATAATCGCCAGTGTAATTTCTGTGTATAAATTTTGTTTTAAAAATTCTAATATTACAAATTATTCAAGGCCGTTAACCATACTTAATATGCCAGTTTTTCGCCAGTAGTCAGTACAATTTCGTAACAATGTTTACCTCCCAAGACCCCTCTTGTGTAAAAACGCAAAACACTTTTTTATTTCTAAAAATCTATCATACATATTTTCCATAAAATAATTCTTATGTATTGTTTAACAAAGGCAAAATATGCAGTACGATTTTATTAATACATTTCAAGTTTATATTTTGCATTTTTCTCAGTCACTGTTTCTCTACTCAAAAAGTACTTTCAGGGTAACTTGGTCAGCAAATTCTGGTGATATTTTTCCGAGGAACATCAATATTGATGACCATTTATCGGAACTCGTGAACACTTCGTATTGCCTAGCAACAGTTGCCTTGACGATCTCCAAAGCAACCGCTGTTGGATCCGCAAAGTTAAGCCCCTTCAACTTTTCCTCTCCAAATTTCTGTTTGAATAACTCCATCACATTTTCTGTTCCTGAAATGTTTGTTAAGGTTTCCAAATGTATTTCGACGTTTTCTTCCTCTTTTAAATATTTTATTGAAAAACCTTTAGGTTTGAAAACGTTGGCATTGAAGGTCAAATTAATCTTTACATGTATATGTCTGCGTGTGGAAGTGTCTTTATGGTATGCAATTAATGCGGCATGTGCCTTTCATGCAAGCATCCACAATATTCAAGAGCTCGATTGTAAATAGTTCCACTTTGTGAACTTAACATTACAACGAGAGGATAACAGTTGATTTGTTGATTTGTGATAAAGTCACTTACTGGTCCCGCCCACTATGCACGAAGTGACGGAAACACCTGTGTTTCTCATCACCATCTCTTGCCTAAGTACACCAAAGAACCCTTGGATTGCGTGCTTTGACGCCGTGTACACTGCCATTCCTGGCACTGGGACCTTTTCTGAAACAAATTGCATGTGTCGGTAAAAAAGGTTTTTCAGTAAAACATATGCATAATGCATAGGAAAGCAAAGTTTTAGAGACCTATGAAACTCGGGTGTGGTAATATGGAGCAGACTTTAAATAACGTCAAGTGACGGGCGTGAATTATCTGGACAAAGTGTACGATTAGAAATCACTTGAAAAATACTCGGTTCACAGATAAATAACAGGGAACCTGCTGTAGAGGAAACAAATGCAATCCTCCCTTTGCTCTTCAGTAAGTGTGGAAGTGCATGTGAGGCGAGATGCACGTATGATCTAAAGTTGATGTCCATCTCCATTGCCAGGTCTGTCAGGTTCTGCTGGCTCCCAAACCACATGTTGGAGACGGATATCCTGGCATGGTTAAGTACCAGTATGTCCAGACCTTTCATACTGTCCACACTATACTAGAAATAGAAAAACAGATTACTACTCACAGATGCCAAGCAAACACAGCATTTTATAACGTTGCCATAACGTTTCAATAACGTTTTCTTGAACACAGTATGTAAGAACCTAGGGAAAATCATAGAAACATTTTCATATCGGAACGCTTAAACAATGGGAATTTTTTGTCAACAAGTGAACGAAGATTTTTTTAAATAATGAACTTTAGTTGAAACAAGTTTGTGGCATTTTTTTTTATAATAAGGGACGCCTTTGAAAAGATTCATGCTGCTTACCGTTATAACGTTCTTCGTTTTGTCTAGCTCCCTCATGTCGGCGACAATATAGGCATGATTAGCAGTTGGTTTGGGAGACAGTTTCTTACACCTTTCCACAACCTTAAGAGAAATTTTATTAAAAATTTCTTTCGGCCAACTTACATTCATTTTAATTAACAATGTTCAAATAGTATACAGTTACACCGACAATACTTTGCATACATCAAAGCACTTCGTTAGAAGTCATTTGAAAATCAGTGTAGGACAGGTGCTAAGTAGCCGTATTAGAATTGCATACGTCTCCATTTGGTATATAGCTATATAAGACAGTTTCGCCGAGCAGTTGAAATTAAACACATTCACATATTCACGCACTGATACTTTTTATAAGATGAATGGAACAAAAGACAGGCTGTATGTGAAAGACCCTATTTGTACTGTCTTCTTGTAAAATTGGTATGTTTTCTAAGTTGGTGAACTTCATAAGAAACGAGACAATCTTTCAGGGTTAGAAACACGTGCCTGCGCTCCCCAAGTTCGTTCCCCCTATCCGTCCGAAGAATGTTTTACCTCTTTTAAGCGATGCTCTCTGCGAGCAGTCAAGACCAGGTTTGCTCCCATCTTGGCAAAATGGTACGCCATCTGTTCTCCAATTCCAGACGACGCTCCTGTTATCAGAACTTTCTTGTCTTGGACGTCGGCTGGAAAAATAGATTGAAGAGACTGGTTAAAAAAAATATAGGCATGCTATTAATTTTTTTTTCTATGTGAACTCTTTATGGGCATTTACCGACAATTCGAAGAAACGTGTGACAGTTTTGTCTGCCACAATTATTTCCTGCCGTGGTTGTGCATACTTCATAAAATCCATATAAATCCCTTGTTAGGTGGGTGGGGCAATTAACGTGCGAAGGCAATTTACTCTCTATCGGAGGCCAGCTGGGTGATCATGATTTTTGCCAAAATTTCTCTCAATGAAGAAATATCTAAGAGAATAATCTGAGGAATATCTGTGAATACATATAGTAAAATAATCCTGTCTGTGACCCTGGTTGAGGATGTGAGATTGATAGCACGGGGGCACTTCTCACGGGTATGTCAATAATTTAATCAGTAGAGATAAGGTTACTTGAGGACATACGGTTAAAGGGAAAATAAAGGTCGTACACCCTACAGACAAGGGAAATCCTCCTTCTACCTACCTACAAGGAGAAGCGGAACAACTGGTTGGTACCAAACAATATTATCCTTTTATGTCATCCCTTCATTCACACCACCGGTGTTAAGACAACATGCACTGGCGGTCCGGGTAACAGAGGGCCCGTCCTCCATTTGATTCATACAGGTTAGCGTAAGCGTGACGTACGTGACGTAAGCGTGACGTAACGAAGTATAAAAAAATTATGCCGTGGTTATCCTGTACAAATGAATGTGAACCGCACTATATATCACAGGGGACTCTCTGTTACCCTCGCATAACATCGGCAAACCCGTGTTTCTCACCTGAATTTCCAAATGCGATTTATCTTGCTATTAAGTCTACACACCTGTGTTCCGTTCTGTCTTTACCTCTCACGTACCTGGATCAAACTTGGTTCCACTGTACATAAGTAAATATGCTATGACCACGGTAGAGAGCGCCAAGGACAACTTTTTCAGTCCGTATCCCATGTTCAGTCCTAGATATCGTGGTCAGAGTCACAATCTTCAGAGACGAAGTAATAAAGAGCAACTTTAACTGCTAAGAAAGGGCTGCTTGAATTAATCTGTACGTCTGTTATAGTGGTAGTATATCATCGGTGTAGTTATCACTTTAATTTGGGTCAGTTAGAAAAAGCAAGCGGGAAATTCAGGACCAATACAAAAAGGAAATTGGCAATCGTGAACAATTCACGTAATGTTAAACTTTTCAAATAATCATTTTTAAATTATTTGATGATATTGTGCGCAATTTATGCACAATGCCATGATATTATCACCTTTTTTCAGGCAAGCATAAAACGACAAAATGATAATCTTATTGATAATGCTTATTATTATTGTTAAGATATTTTAATAATTAAATTATTAATGATAATATTCATAATAATGATTCTGTCGTAATTAATTCTATTGCAAATCAGCGCGCATTGTTTTGGGAGTCACTTTATATATATATATATATATATATATATATATATATATATATATATATATATATATATTACGGTTACTTGTCGTCCAAATTATCTTTTAATTTTGCAATTTACCTTTTCACGATATCTAACATATTTTGCTAATCTTTGCAATCATTTTGCACCCCAGAGTACTTTACTTGTGAAGGGAGTGGGGTTTCTCTCGGCCAAGTTGACAACCTGACACTCATCGCACAATGATGCGACTTTCAGCAGATTAAACAATTAACCATTCAACTAATGCTTTCAACAATTTATTAAGGTTACATTGTCAATGTCATTTCAAAAACACCCAGATTGTTACACAAAGCGCTTCATACAAAATACAAATCTGCGGAATTAACGGATTACACAGAATAAGATAAAGTGAAAACTGGTTTGAAAGTATTTGGTCCAAAACAAATAAATAAAACTAGGGCACACCACTTTTTCCATGATATCACAGGTACACAGGGCGATCTCTGAGATGATATAGCAGTGTGAGGAACTGTAACCGCTACTATAACACGATTATCTAGAATCTGTTCTTTTAATAACCTATCGTATAAACGTAAGTTGTAACAAAGAACGCTGGTCACTAGAATCCAAGAAACACATTTAAATCTGATAAGAAACCAGCTTCATTATGCTTTGCTTTACGTAGTAATTATATAACTAACTGTAATGCAAAATTAACATTTATTCAATACTCAGGCATGAGACCAGTCCTCACTGAAAAAGTAGGATTTACACAATTCACAAGAATTACCCAAATGACCCTGAAAAAGTCAGAATTCCGACAAAAGTCGGAAAAGTCTCATCAGTGAATACTAAAGAAATCCAATGTCACTAGAGATAAACCGTTCTTATAGCCCAAACTCGACTGTAGACAAGTATCTGTCAGCAAACTTCTGCCATGAGCATGCCATTAAAAAACAATTATATACATCAGTCTTAAAGATCAGTTGATAAAAATACACTCCAGGCATATCATTAATGATAAAAAAGAAATCTGCTGAAAAGCTGAAGCATTTCATAAAATTTCTTCATAGAATGATCACTCTCTAGCAGTAAGAATCACGCTGTCTAATGACAGATTAGACAACTTTTCCAAATTTCATATACAACACATGATGAAGCTGGAGTTGGGAATACTCCTCTTGTTATTTTATTTCCCCATACCTTTAGGCACAATACAGCTTTACTTCATGGACATCCACAGGATGTTGCTACCTTTAATGAATGAGTTTTGATTATCATATGTGTGTCACTCCTCAAAAAAAGTGACTTTTGGAGGCAATATCAATGATCCATTTTGTGTAATATTTTATATATTCTAACATAAACCATTATTTTTGATATTTTATGCTTTAATACCATTAAAAGTGGAACGAAGTGGACAGTAGTCAAAAATTGATGTAAAACATATGCAAATATTACACAAAATAACATGCATCAGACAGTCAATATTTTGTGGAATGAACCAGCTATGATATGATAGAAGTTGTTCATTTTAAGGCTTCAAAAGCACAACTCAGGGACTACACATGATGGTGTCACAGATTGCTGCTTGAAATTGTCCTGAGATGAATTAGAATTATCACACTGCCGCCTGTAGACTGTTCATCACAGTACATCATGTTCCAGTATGTCCAGAAGAGGGCAGCACTTCTTGGTCTTAGCTCTGATGTAAACCAGGAAAGAAATAGAACTTTTTTCGGAGAGAACTCCTCCACTGTGAAACTTGACGATATTTGCCCTTGATGGTCTCTCCTTTGCTTACCAAGTAGTTTACCTACAAGTTGAGATTAAGAAGACATAGAAACTTTCCAGAATACACTGGATTCATTTTTCCCTGATATTTTAAAAACAACTGAATATAACTGTCCAAGACATTAGACTCACCCTTATGATGTAGTTATATAGGAAGCACTCAGGCTGCTCTTCAGAACATTAATTTTGTAATTTTTTTTTTAAATCTACAACCTTGCATATTCATAATTTTCAATATTTTTGGTCTATTGATTCCTACTGTGTGCTACTATGTTTATTTAGCATGTGCTCCTAAACCAATAGCCCATAGACTGGGGATATTCGTTTACTTATTTAAAGCAATAATAACTCTTCCTTTGAGATTCAAAATTCCCCAAGAAATACATTGTAAACAACGCCTGGAAATATATTCTATTGCATTTTCCCACTAAAACGACTGTTATTGTAGTAAAACCAAAATCTGTGCTTGTCACTTGGGCTTTTGATGCCATTTCTTCACGGTCGACAAGAGCATCCGTTGCCAATGACGTTTAGGTGTCACGCGGATTCTCGCGTTCAATCGAGACCAAAATAACATTGGCGGGAAACCCTCAGATGTAAGTTGCGAGTTTTTGTACAGTTCGTCGGATAAAGAAAAGCCCAGAATTGCACACATTGTAGATATAAATGCATTTTGAGCAATAAGACGAATATATCTTATGAATCTTATAATATTGTTATATAGTGTTGTTGTTGTCTGCTTTTCCCGCGGTTTTAAGTAGGTCACCAGAAACTATCGCTCGATATCGCATGACTGCCATGTAAGAGAGAGGGCTCCGTCAGTTAAAATCTCTTAAGAGATTTTAACAAAAAAACGTACGTTTAGGAAAAAAACCCTGGATTAACTTTGAATGCAGGAAGGGGGTCGTTGACCATTGGTAAGTACGGGAAAATTGCCGTTTTTTTCCAGGAAAATCGTATTTTTGGCCAAAACGAAGAGTTATTATGACTTTAATCGTTTAACAAATGTTCCCAGCTGAAAACAAAAAGTCATCAACAAATAAAAAAAAAAAAATGATAAAATACCTTGGTGAGTATCTGAGAAATATCATACTTATGGGCATATTTACTGATTGCATAAACAAGAGCTATGATAAACCAAGTGCCTAGGGATTCATTGCGCCAGGAAACATAATCTGAAACAAAAAGGACAAATGAAATTTGAGTGTTTTATGTAAGCTGTATTTGGCTGGGACAGATCAGATCGTGTAAGATGTTGAGACAGATTTTGTTAGTTGTAATTGATTGAGGCACATTATTAGCTGTACTTGGTCAAGACACATTGTGTTTGATGAACGCTGTTGAGACACACTGTCTTAGCAGTACACTGTTGAGACAGATTGTGCTAGATTTTCTTGGTTGAGACAGATTTTGCTAGATATTCTTGGCTGAGACAGAATTTATACGATGTAACTGGTTGAGACATAAGGAATCTAATTATCAGAAACCTTTTCTCTTATTCCCTCACCTGGTGTGGTTGCCATAGCAACTAGTATGTCCGCCATTGTTGGAACGGACACATCACTGCTGTCCGTTCTCTCTTCTTGCCTCCCTGCCAGTTCCAGCCTACTGAAGTACTCAGCAAGGTCACCACCATCTGCCTGCGTGTCCCCCGAGCCTTTGTCATAATTTTCTGTAATGTACAAGAAAAATGTCATAATATACAGGCCCCAATATGAAAACTGACACGGTTTCACGTGACCTACTTATCTATTTATATGTTTAAAGAATAATATAGCTTTTAAATTTTTCCAATATGACAATCTAGGTACTCATTCCATTTTAGAAAAAATTTAGGACATCACATTTGGTTATATATAAAAATTGCATCATATATCATTATCATTATAACACTGGTCATTTTAAAAACTCACCTCCTTGACAAGCTTGAATAAAGAACAATTTTGGTTTGTCCACAAGGAATGGGCAGTTCTTCCCATTGAAAATATCAGTTATAACAGGAATGGACAATTTCTTCCAGTCTGTTCCATAAACGACATCATTGGCACCATGACTGAGGATGATTAGGATGAAGGAATGGTGCCTGGCATGGTCTGAGTTCTTAGACTCCTCCTTCAACATTCCCAGCATTTTCTTCAAAGTAAAAAAAAAATGTAAAATTATGAAAACATCTTACGTCAAGACTGTATGCTACTGAAGACCACTCATCTTAATAAAAAAATTAATATATGTTTATAACCATAACCCTACCTCAGCAGTCAAGTTAGAGTGAAGAACAACTTTATAATTCAATTTCTCAAACAGTCGCTGTAGTTGTGTGGCATCCTTCTCCGAGCCTTTCCTATCCTTATCGCCACCAAACAGCACATTGTTGATGATCACAGCTCTCCCCTTGGGCTGGGAGAAGTTTTTATAGGTACTCTAAAAATTAAAACACAGCAAAAGTATGTGTATCACCAGTTGCATGGATCTGGCACACAAAATGGATAATAACATATGTAAAGAGCTAAATGTTACCCAAATAAGAGATGTATTGACAATTTAAAAACCATGCAGTCTTTCTTTGTTGCCAATGTCAAAAGTAGAGTCAACTGATGAATATTGTACCTATCTGTCAGTTTGTGTTTTTTTCCCTCTCTCTGAAAAATCTATCTTACAGTTAATGGGTACTGAACTTATTACCAATTTTCAGTACTTCTTAATGTCTGAAACTTCAAATGGAAAAAAAGAACTGTCCTTTTCTTAGTCCCCTGAATGTTAACTGCTATGTTGAATATTTCAATGACTTGACACGATAGAATTTAAGCCATGGGCTTAAAGCTTGGTGCTTCTTCTCAGTTCTCAGCCTACATACCTCTTTAGGGTTAGTCAGCAAGGCCTTCAGTTCAGGATCCTTTACATCTATAAGTTTGTCTATCACACTAAAGTCTGCTATGTCTGCAGTTGGAAATTCTGTAAGATTGTGAGGGAGAAATAATCATAATTTATTGAGAAAATAAATGTGTTTACATTAATACCCTTTCTAAGCTACTTCATATAAAGAATTAAGAGACTGTATTACTAAATAATATACAAGGCACATTATAGGACATGCAATTGTACTAGTGAAACTTCATAACTTTTATTACACAGATCACTAAAAACATGGGCATATCAATTAGATTCATAATATAGTTACAATACTTTAATACAGATATAATTCTATCTCATTTTTACAAGATTTTGTATAGCAGAGTAAGAAATCATAAACAAAAAGCAATGTGGACTATGGTCAATAAAATGCAGAAAAACAGAAACGTGGCCACATGTGTTATCTGCCACAGGTATAATATGAGTCCACAGTAACAGAGATATATTTACTGACTTTCAGGGAGTTTATCATCATCGTCTTCATCATCTCTATCCTCAGATACTTGTGCTATCAGAGATCTGCGGCCTGCACTTTTAGCACGAGTTTGTGACAAACGATCTGGCCATATAAGGTCTGCAAGGTGCGGTTGTTCTAATGACAGAAATATGTTTTTGTTATTTACAGATATGTTTTTCCTTTCTAAACAGTGGAGTAACATGAGTTTATTTTGTTATAAATACTGAGAATGTAGTGAAACAGTTTTAATGAGTTTCATATTACTAAAAATAATCAAATATCCTAAGTCATCATCTAATCTATCAGACACACACATACACATGCACGCACGCACACATTTAAAATTTTTACAGAACTAAGAAAAGAACCTGACACAAATTTAAAAAAAAAAATACCCTCCTACTAATTCAGTTTCTGTAGGTGTAGGATTTTTTTTTGGTGCATATGTAATATTTTTTCCTAATACTAGTAACCAAATCAAAGATTTTATCCCAGAGACACAGAGGGATTACCCACCTGTCTCGATAAGCCCATTGTAAAAGTGTTCAAATGCACCAGGCCCTCTTCTGGGAATATCATCCAAAATTTTGGACACTTTATCCCTCCTTGTCCTTGCCGCCTAAATGTCAACGAATAAAGGACAGAATCTTATCGGTTAAGTAATTGTATTGCTAAGTGTGTACTGGTATGTGAATGTGCTCATTTCAGCTCATGGACAGAAACATTTGAATCAAAACCACTACACAGGAGTGAAAAGTTTGATTATTAACCTTAAGCTTGGGAACAAAATGTCTGCAGAGCATCTTTTATACCAACACTGTGTATATACAAGTATATAATCACTCAAATTGTCTCCCATGATTCAACTGTACAGAGTATTAATTTAAAGTTCAGCATGGATTAAAGCCTTTTTCACCTTGAGCAGTAGTTTTTTTTTTTTTTTTTTTTTTTTTTTTTTTTTTTTTGTATTGCATCAATTTGTAAGATAAACTACTTATTAGTAATTTTTAAACACATTCCTAACAGGAACTCTCTGTCAGGATTTTCACTGAATGCAATCAGATTACCCCCCCCCCTTGTTTCCAACATTCTCCAATAATCACCACTTTTCCGTATTCTACTCAACATCAGGAGAAAGCATTTTGATCTGCTTGCATTCAGCAAGAGTCCCCACAAAGTTGGAGTGATCTATGCAGAACAACAGTTTCACTGGAAATGAGCCCTTATATACCTCTATATCTTCCAACATGGCATCAGTAAGAACTCCTTCCTGGACCAAATAATCTGCAACTGGCCCCGGTTCCATGTCTTGAATCAGGGCAAGTCGATTCTTACGAATCTGGTCACGATGAAACTTATCCATACTGGGCTGTGACTGAGAATTCTATATATTATTTAATTTTTTTTTAACAGGGATAAGCTGGCTCATGGCCTGATTGTACAATGTACATCACTTCCTAGTTCTCTTTTTAGTTGACCTGAAATATATGATTTAATTGTTAATGGACAAAATCATTTACTATAACATAACTGGAAAACTGAGAATGGAGAATGCGCCGTATCTAGCTATTTCGGCGTTTCACTAACTTAGCTACCACTTGTTTCCAAAGGCTAAGTAAACTTTCACCGTATTTTAAACTTCCAGATAGCAAACTTGGAGAAATTTCAGTAGGAGTTTCCTCTTCAAGGGATACATTTAAAGCCACGTTATCCTTAATAACGTCCATTATGCAATATATCTGTTAAATATATAATAAAGTAAGCATTGTTGGGCGGTAACAGGACTTTTAAAATAACTCTTACTTGCGTTTTTTATCGTAGGGAATTCCGCATTCGGCCTCTAAGGAAGGAAAGGCCAATCACGCAAAATCTCACGTGAATACAAGATTTATTTACATCATGGCGCCACGTGGAGGGATGCGCCGGTTGTTTACATCACAAAACATTCTCATATTCTTGGGAGTTCTCTCTGTAGTTTTGGTCATCTTAATATACAACAAATTACTGTTCCCTGGAACATTTACGACCGACAGCGAGCGGTTCTATCGTTCCGATCGACTTGAAAATCGCAAAGATCAGCTGCATAAGCCTGACGGTCAGCCTTTAGAGACTCCGTTGGCAGGAGTCTCCGAGTTAGAATTCTCTGTTCCCGAAGAGATAGACGTTATAATTACGTTCACGAAAGCCAAAGATAACTGGCAACTTGCAGATAAATTTCGTCGCTGTGTTGCCTCCTTGGTGAAGCATTCCAGTGTGATGTTAGCGTTCCATATAATTGGAGACAAGGACAGCCAGCAAATAGCTGAGAAGATTCTGAAGGAGGTGGACTCGGGTACCGCAGCGAAACACCGGGTGCGTGCTTCCTTCTCCTCTTCCTCTTCTCTCTCGCTCTCTCTCACTCTCTCTCTCTCTCTCTCTCCCAAACACACATATTTACACACACACTAGCTGTGACAATATTTCAACATTTCAGTGAAATTCAATGCTGCAAACCTATATTTGCAAAAATAAAATATAAGGCTACGTTCCTTTATATCTCCACATTGTTACTCCCCCCATCCCCCCTTTCTTGTCAAATGATACCGTTGTGTGCTCAAAAATGACAAAATTTCCAATTGTAATACAAACATTGAAGGAACGCAATGGTGCAGGGTATTGTCCATGTGTGTGTGTGTTGGGGGGGGGGGGGG